CGTGGGAGCCCCCGGGTGCGCCCCACGGAAAGCTGCTGTCCCGCCTCCCCAAGCACGGGGGTTTTCTCTGAAGGTTCTGCTGCAAAACCGAGGGCGCAGGGAAGACAAAACAGGTCAGGCAGCCTGGGGGAGAGCAGGGACTCTTTAATAAATTAGCAAAGTAAACAGCATTTATATATATATAATATATATAATATATATATTCTGTTGCTGCATCTCCTCAGATCACATGCGTTAAGCAGAAACGTTGATTTCCTGGTCTGATGCTGACTTGATCCAGGTGCCTGAGGTTGTGGAACTTAAAAACATAAAACCACTTAGAAATAAAATAGCTTTTTGTAAGCTAGAGACACAGCCTCCAAGGGGAAATAAGTGACATTACCGTATGATTTCATCTCGCTGCCTCCTCACAGAAGTGATTGAAAGAAAGTGATCAGATTTTTCGCCCTCTTAAGACAAAAAGGTTTTCCCTCACCGGGCTGGGAAGGGGGATGGACTGAGCACATCTAATGCACTGGAAGGATCATCTGGTACATTAAAATCGGATACAATTTGCAGTGTACAAGTCTCTGATTCTGATGATAACCAGGAGCTGATCTGGAACTTTGATCGTGTGTCAGTTGGTCCCAAACAGGGCGAGCAGACAGCAAAGTCTGGTGGCCCAGGCTGCCCGGTGCCCTCAGTCCTCGTCGCGGACGTACTGCCCAGCCTCCCAGCGCTGGGCCATCGCGCTCTTGTGGCGAATCACTCTGGTGCTTTCCACCACCTAAACCCACCACACGGCACAGCAGTTTCTTAGAAAGATATTTTATAAACAATCCTTTTTGCACCACACCCTCCCAGCCAAAAGCCACCTCCTCATTTTAGGGTTAAAAAACATACAGCAGCAGCCATTTCACATTCTCTGCCCAAGGCTTTGCCCGCCCGCAGCCCCCCAGGAGCCCAGATCCCCCCCAGTCCCCTCAGCCCCCAGGGCTTGGGGAGCCCAGCAGGGAGCGAGGTCAGAGCAGCAGAAGCAGAGCCCTAGAGTGGTAACAGCTTTTACCTCCGTGTTGATCTTGTCAATGGGCTCGATGCCGGCGTACTGTGAAAGGGGGGAAAAGACTCAGACAACGGCAGCCTGGCAGGGGGATACCCAGAGGCAGCCAGATATGGGGCACCGGGCAGGGGGCAGGTCAGGCAAAACAGCACCCTCATGCCCTCCCTGGATCCAGGGGCCTGTTTTGGCCAGGACCCCCTTCCCAGGAGGAAGCTGCAAATCTCCAGTCCTACCCGGCTCTGACACCACCAAGCAGCAGGGCCCTGCCCAGGGTGCTCTGTACAGCCCCTTGCTGCAGCCACCACCACCAGGTCTCCCTCCAGCTCTGGGTGAGAGCTGGGTATGGCCACCTCCAACCCCAGGGCCACCAGCCTTCTCCCAAGCTCCAACCCTGCAGCACATGCTACCCAGCATATTCACCTTTCCATCCTCCTTCACCCTCCTCCTCCGCTCCTCGAAGGGGCTGGAACGCGCTGAGTCGGGGGTGAGGGTCTCAGTGCTGCCCTGGGAGGGACCGGCCACTCGCAGTGGGGGGAAGGATGACATCAGTCCCAGGAGCCCCGCCCGGGG